AACATGAAATGAGTGAAAATGGAAGCACACCTCATCAAAACACATGGAAGGCAGCAAAAGCAAGGATGACTGGGAAGACTGTTTATGCAAATGTTTCTTACAGAGCCATAAAAGAATGGTATAGGTAACCAAACTTTATAACTCAAGGGGCTAGAAAATGACTGAAAAAGGTGTAAAGTCAGCAGTAATCAAAAGAGTAGGTATCTAAAATTAGACACATAGACAAATGAAACAGATTTGAAAGCCAGAAATAAACCCTTACCTATGTGGTCAACTAAAATTTCACAAGAGAGCCAAGAATAATAATGGGAAAAGGTTAATTTCTTAAATTAGCTGTGCTGGGAAACTATCAATTAGATATCTATATGCAAAGAATGAAACTTGCCCCTTCCCTTACACTGCTCACAGTCCCTGCCAGCTGGGTGTCCCCTTTATAGAGCAAGTACCTGACCTGACCTTTGATCACCTCATTATCCACTTCAAAGAGGCATCTAGTGCAAGAAAGACTATTTTGAATAAACACATTTCCAGACACACAACTAGATAAAGAGCTGGCGACTCTTCCCCCTAGAAGTTTCTTTATTTTAGAGATATTGACTGATTTCAGTAACTGACCACTTGGGTCACTTTATCTTTCACTTTCCAGTCTTTCAAATTTCTTCCCTTATGACTTCAAAGAAAGGGATCATGGAAGACTAGGCCCCCACCTCAGCCATAATAAAAGCAGAATCTAGGCCTGATATCTATGTCTCTCTCCTACACCCTCTCCGTGTACCTCACTATGTAGTCCCAGGTGTGTTGTGCAATTTCCAAGGTTGTGAGTAATAAAACTTTATTTTGTCAAGATTTCCTGGAGGTTGCTGCCGAAGGGTGTCTTGCAACCTCACTGAAAACCATAAAGGGTGGCCTAGTCATTACATTGGGTATTGGTTAAGAGGAAGATGGCACAGCACGGAGTTCAAATGTGATCTCTGAAACCATAACAATCCTAGAGGAAAACAGAGAGGAACATTTCCTTAATGTTGGTCCTGACATGATGTTTGACTATGACACAAAAAGCAAAAGCACAAACTCAAAAATCAGTAAGTAGGACTATGTAAACTAAAAAACAGTAAAGGCTGTGATGAGAAGACAACCCATAGTGTTGTCAGATGGGGAGTTCCTATCCAAAATGCATAAAGAACAAAAATCAATAACCGGATTACAAATCAGCAATGGACTTGAAGACACATTGTCTAAACGTAGACACGCAAATGCCCAAGTTCATGAAAAGCTGCTCAGCATCACTAATGATCAGACAAGTGCGAATCAAAGCAAAATGAGAGCCCGTGTCTCACTGTCGGGGAGGTTATCAACAAGGCAGGAGGTGGGCAGTGGGGAGCCTGGGGGAGGG